CCCCTGTGAAACAAAAATTCCTTTTTACAGGTACATGTGTAATATGGACTGTCATTTCACAAATTCATATACCAAAGCTTTTTGTGTTTCACGGGGGGAACATATGTTTACAGACAAAAACTACAAAAATGCTTATATTTTCCACCAATTTCAAAGGGATTTGCAACTAAAACATTGTATTTTATTAATAATATATGTTTAATTTTATATGAGTAAAACATAAGAAAAGATTTAAGGAACATTTATTCATATCCAAGAATATTTTAAAATGTGGTGATGCTTTAGATCCCGATTTCAGTGAAAAATATCTACCCCCCTTATTTAAAGAGCTGGAATTAGGGGTAATTAATTATTTAACACTAGAATTAAAATTATCAGTAAATTACCCTTGAACTGTTCTTTGCATTCAACAAAGATTGTATGGCCAAACTGCCATTAATATTGAATTAAATGGGTGTAAAATGTAGGCGAGAATCGAGAGTTAGAGTGCGTAGTTCTTAGCTTTAAATTGTGTTTACAATTTGTATGATATTACCCTGATATGAACAGAGTGTAATTGATAATTTCTCCCAGAATTTTTGTTTAATGAACAGTTTGTGTTTTCATTGTGCAGGTGATAATTTGGATTGGACTGTTAGATTGTTTGAGAATAATACACTTACATCTGAATATCGTCCTTTGGGGGTAATACCACTTATTGGTATATATATATATGTACCTTGTTGAAAAATTTACATGATGTTTGTTTTTCTCTGTGCAAAAGGTTAAATATTTTGACTCAAAAATGCCAGATAATTATTAAATAGTATTTCTTCTTAAAAGAATTGTAAAAATCATATAAGTTTATAAATAAAGTAGGGATGTCAAATCGATCAATTTTTGATAATCGGTTACTCGGACGTTTTTCCGATCGAGTATACCCATATTACTCGGTAACAAAAATGTAAATACAAGTGTGTTAATTTTCTTGAGCCCCGTTAAGCTCTGCTAAACCCTAAAGCTGTTTTTATCACGTTTGTAAATGTATATAAACATCGAGTCCAACGGAAATGATTTTTTGGTACTTAATTTATTTATCAAATAAACACAAAAGACAATTAATACATCAAAAATTACAAAAGGTTTACAGTTCTTGTTTAGGATCTATTTCATGAACGCAAAAGGAGGACAAGCCGTTACGCAGGTTTGTGATGATTAGACTAGCGAAAGAGAAGGAACGGACATTGTTGGGATCGCTAGTCTAATATTATTTCATTTGCTGGTTGTTTCCTCCGTATACACTTAACTTACTATGCAAACTGACTTTCAGCATTTTTTAAAATCTTTAATTATTTCTAAATATTTCTTCACTTGTGAAGTGGGTTATGAATGTCCGATTTCGCTGTCGTATATTAACTAAATAATTTAAAAATGATTTGAAGGTAATAGACCATACTTAAACGATGTTCACTGAAAACAATCATTGAAGCCATCTAAAAATTAAGGATCACAATAGGTGAGAACAGGCTGTGTACCAAATGATTGGTCACTAATTACTATATATACACAGCCACAGGCGATAACGGGTGTTTTACGGGTGTAGATGACGACACGCTAATTACCGTGTGCATATTTAAGTTATTTTTTGAAAAGTTTTTGATGAAAATATGTACTTTGAAATAAGAAAAAAATACACATCCGAGTAACCGAGTACCATTTTTAGTATTCGATACTCGGACGTTCGATCGAGTACCCGGTTAACCGGGTACTCGTTGACATCCCTAAAATAAAGTCAACCTGTTGGGAAAAAAAAGGGGGGGATATTCGCATATAGTAATGAAAGTCTGAATAGGTTTTTTTTAAGGTTTATGATTTATCATAAATTAAACTAGATGCACCAAACTTCAATGAACATTCAATTTTGTGGATCGAATCAGCAACGAAATCCACGAAAATTGGTGTTCCACAAATAATGATGAAACCACAGTATATATCTTGATTTTTTTCAATCCCATCAAGTTTGAGATAACAAGGTTTGACTGTACACAAAAAATCACTCTAAAGGCATTTCTATTCCCTATTTTCTGCCAAATGAATGCACACATATTCAAAATAGTAAAAATAATTCAAAAACTGTGATTGAGAAAAAGAAATGAATTGAATTTTCAACTTACATGATGGACAAGTACAGTTAAAGCCATTTCCATCTGGAACACAGGTACCTCCATTAAAACAGGGGTTTGATTGGCAAACATCAAGAGCATTCTCACATGATGTACCAGTATAACCTGTTCAAAAATCTTGACAATTACAGAGACTTCAGTAGTCAAAAATTCTGCAAAATTTTACAATTACAATAGAAAGCTGGGTTCAACACTAACGGTGGACCTTCCAAAAAATTGGAAGGTCCACCAAATGTTCTTGACTAGGTGGACCGTTGGTCCACTTAAAATTTAAGCACCGTATAAAAAAAAACAAAGTAAAATTCGGTTTTCTTTTTCTATAAATCGACATCCGTAAATCAAACGATTAATTCATCCATACTTGTATTTTACAATAAATAAATATAAAATTTATTTTAGGCATTAAAGCAGGGGAAGTTAGCGACTATATATGTTTTACATGTAATATTGATGACTACAATAACAGTGAGACTTAAGAACATTCAACACGGACCTTGAAAAAGAAGCATGTAAAATTTGTGCCAAGTTAGCCAGTCCATCCTTTCTTTAATTAATGCACAGAAAGGTGTAAAATTACACTAGGTAACAGGAAATCACTTCACGCACACTGATGGCCAGGTTTGGAGATACATGTAATTAGAATTGATTGACAGCTGTATTTATGCATTGTTTATTTTTTTTTTTATAGATGTTCAAACAGGTATGATTTATATTTTATGAATACGTTATCTGCAGTTTCTGTTTTTTTTCCTGCTATACTTAATATCACATATTAAAAAAATCATGTGATCACAGTTTATTTGAATAAATAATAATAAAAAAAATATTAATAAATACATATACTTTTGTCAGTTTTGCATCGTAGTGAAAAATTGTTCTATAGCCATAGATACATGAAAAATTCACTTGTTAATAGATATATGTTTATTCACCAATCAAGGGCTCTCAGGGGGCAAATACAATTATTTCAGAATGATCACATATAAATAATATTAAAATTTATTGTAATATGAAAGAATATTAATCATATCTTAGTTAATTTATTAGGATATTAAATTTTATCTACCTTTGGAAGCGAATTAAATGCAGGTTTTTACCATTGTAAATAAATGATATTAAAATAACAAATCCATTTGAAGATGTAGATTGCATTCTTATTTTTAAATATTGGAAATATGTTTAACAATATTGCTGAAACACTCCTAATTGATTTGTTTCTGTTGATTGGTTAAACTTATACTTTATTAGTCTGACTGGACTGGGTACATAAATTAGTTTCATGCCTTGTATAATGAATTCATTCATTAATTCAAACATTTTTGAAGGTCCACCAGAATTTGAGAAGGTCCACCAATTATTTTTGACAAGTGGACCTGCGGCCCACCAAGGTAAAAAAGTTAGTGTCGAACCCTGGAAAGTAGGGAAGGCAGGTGGATAATTTTTTATGCATAACCAGTTATTGTATATTTTTCTGAGTACCAGGTAACTGCTTAATGGGACAGATAAGACTTGTTGTAATTTAATTATGAATTATTCAAGTTATATTTTGTATACAATAGGCTCAAGGGCCTTAATGGTTACCTGAGTATAATTACATAACGGTTACCTTGTGAAGGATCCTTGGAATGGTATATAATTATTAGGGAATATCCATTCAATGAGTAGATATTTGGATATGAATTTATGATTTGAATATTAAGTTTTATTCATTTTCTGGTTCAATCACTCTTAAAAATTTTTTTTACATCACCCCATCTTTTTTTTACATTATTTCTTCACGGGGAGAGTTTAATTTGCAGTAAATTAATGCTAAGTAAACTAATGAGAATTAAACTAATGCGAATTAAACTGCATTCACACGGCAGCTAATGTGAAGTAAACTAATGCAAATTAAAATTTTATTTCTACAGTAGGGCTATTCAGTAAGGCTATTATGAATTCATTTGCAAATCATGTCACCTTATGCAGAGCAAATCCATTTACCGTAGAAGTGGAATTTTTAGCAAGATGCAAATTTAGCAAATTGTTCTTCAAAAGTCAATATTTAATTTTAGCGAGAAGTAATTTTAGCGATTTTATGGTGCAAAGAAAGATAATGGCAACCTCCAATGCAGAATAAAATGTTAGCGATATTTAGTTTTTGCGATCTCTACATCCTCGCTAAAAATGCCAAAAATTAATCCTCACTAAAATTTCTGCTTAAACAGTAATGTCATGTCTGTACACCTTTAGTGATTAACATAATTTTCCTTATTTTTGTCACTCATAATAGCACAATTAAGTATCTATATCTGACCTCATGTGGCATGTGACTTAATTCTGCCATTACGCAAGCGTCAGAATTCAATTCAAATTAGGTTCACTGAGCATTCACATGGAGCTTAATGCACAGTAAACTAATTTGAATTAAACTCATTCGTATTAAATCCAGTTCAAATTTAATTCACAGTTACTTACATTTCATTCAAATTTTAACTCTCCATGTGAACAGGGCTTAACTAAACTACATAAATAATCATTACTTAGTTATACTTTGTGTCTAGTGTAGCAATCTGAAAACACTCAGTAAAATGTCATTGGACAAAAAAAACTATTGGTACATTACCTTCATCACAAGCACATATTGCTTCATGGTTCTGAAAAACACACCTTCCCTTGTTTTTACAGTTTTCCAGTGTTGTGTTACAAGCTGCAGAATTGATAATTTAAATTAAATAACTTGAAATTAATGTGATTTTTTTTAAATATCAGTATTTACATTAAAACTTTGCAATATCAGCATCTGTCCTGGAATATCACATCATGATGAATTTACTACTTTTAAAACTACTAATACTTTTACAAACCAACAGTGATGCAGTCAGCAGAGCTGTTACTGCCAGTTTTTTGATTCATCTGGTCCTGTAGACATTCTGTACAATCTTTTTGTCCTTCATTTGTCTGATAGTGATGCAGAGGACAGTCATAACACGGCTCATATCCTGTCAAAGAGTACTTCCCAGCTGGACAAGGAGCTGCAATTATTTTAAGTCTAATTATACCAGTATTTTTTTTTAATTCTTTGAAATTTTTAAGCCAAAGTACTTAACTTAAATTAAACTTATGACTAGGCATCTCCAGAAATGTATGGCAAGCTGTTTACTACCGGTATATTTATTCTGAAACAAGACATCTTCTTAAATTCAACAGATATCTCTTCATTCCAGATAGAAGCTCTGAAATTCAGAAGATATCTCTCTATCAAGAGATATCTATCAGTATTAACTTGAGTTCTCTATCAAAAGAGAGATATACCAGTACCTTTTATATAAAAAATATATCTTTCATCCATAAAAAAGAGAGATGTCTGAATGATAAATAGATATCTATGTAAATACTGTAAAACATACTTTAAGTTATATGCAAGAAATAGCTGCAAGTTTCAGGACTTTTTTTTACTTGAAAATATTCCTCCTCTTTAACAATTTCTTGCATTGTGTATTTATGTACAATAATTCCCCGGCCACGAAATTAGCTGTTGTGGATATATTTTAACGACGACAGATCTAATTCATTTCTGCAATAGATCTTTTATTCAAATTTTAATATGAGATAAAGTGACTTCTGGTGAGTTAAAATCAATAAAAAAAATCATATGGTCATCGATGTAGATTTTTAATGGGGAGCATTTCAAAAGTTGGAAATGGAAATCCATAATTATTATAGGAAGTAATGGAAAATTGCCAGTGTTGGGTATAAGAGTGATCATTGAAAAAAATTCTGCAATAGAATTTTTATTCATATTAAAGGACAATGTTAACAAGACAATTTACCATCAAATTATGCCAAAAAATAAATGGGTCATCGGCTTAGATTTTTCAGGGGGGCATGTCAAACTCAGGTGTAGGGCACATTTTGGGGGATATTTTCAATGAAAAATACCTTGGCCAAATAAATGATTTATTTATAAAGTCAACAAATGAATATAAATCGAAATATTTACAATATTTTTGAATTGCGAGGAAACGTTTGAATATTTTTAAAAGAATTAAAAATGTATATTTCCTATCTTTTGCAATACATAATTAAGTCAATTTGATTCAAGGCATATGCACAGTTTTCTGCGAAGTGGTGTGAAATTTCGAATTAGGTCCGTCATCCTTAAACTGAAGACAGTTAGTGCATAATTTTTTTTAAAAAAAATTACCTTTACATCCACTGATATTAGGAACACCATTTTTTCCATCTGTTGTAGAATTATTTGGACAACGTTCACAGTTGGTTGCATTCACCCAGTATTCATCTCCACCACAGGGCTTACATTCTGTCATTCCATCACTTGAAGTGAAACCAGGTGGACACAGGTCTAAAAAAATGACAGAATGAAAACATGATATGTTTGTGAAACACTATGCCCCCGATGGTAATACAATTCTGGAGTGGGACGTAGACTACAGTGCAATAGTTATGGCCAATGTTAAAGTTTTTCAAATGTAGGTCAAAGGTCACAGTTGAGGTCACATGATCAAAAATTTCTGCACCAATGGAAAGGTCTTGTCATAATGAACACTCGTGTCAAATATTAAAGCCTTACCCTTGACAGCGCAATAGTTATGTGCTAGGTTAAAGTTGACAACAGACAGACAGACAAACAGACAGACAGGACAAAAACAATATACCCCCAGGATTTTTCAATCCGGGGGCATAAAAAATTAAGTATACTCCATTCCCACAATACCGGAGGTTCTACGGTATCGGTGTATCCCTTTATTTATAAATTCACTCGCTATAGGCGACACCTAGCGGCCAGATATTTTTAGAAAAAGATTGGTAATACCTCGTTGTCATTACTATTGCCTTAGATCTTAAGCAAGATTTATTTAAAACAATGAAAGAGTCAAAAATATTTTTTAGATAACTGCAAATAAGTATGAAAGCTTTTTTAACCTGACTTATCCTCCAATTGTATTTTTATATTTTTGTTATCTGATAAAAAAAAATTAATTATGTTCTGTTTTAAGGGTGCAGCAAAAAAAAAATCAAAAGAGTTAGAATAAAAATACACAATAGACAAAATCTGAAAATTCAAAAAGGCAAATAATGCTACTTTCAAAGGAGTGTCAAGCAACAAATGAAAATTCAGCATCAAGAGCTTTACCTCCAAGTTCAAAAAAAAAAAAAAAATTTAAAAAAAATCCAAGATTATGGAGCAAATCCTAAATGACAATAGATCAGTAACATTAAAAATCATATCCAAAAGTGAAATGGGGTGCAATTTGTATTGATTATAGTGAAATTAACATTTGGAAATTGGAAATGAGGATGATGTGTATGTAGACTGTGGGAGACAAAAGAGCCAAGAATGATTACTTTTTGTTAAACTGGAAAAGAGTTATTTGTGTGGACATTGATCCCATTTACTACTCTGCAGTAAAGTAAAGGAGATGAAAGAAGGGGGTTCTTTTAAGTGTTTCTTAATTATGAAAAAAAAAATCAGTTTCTTGAATTTGTGAAATAAAATATTTCACAAATGATTTTTTAATCAGAATATTGTTTTTTTTTTACTCAACTTTCTAAAAAAAAAATGCACTTCAAAGATATTTAATCTCAAAATGATTTACATTTTAAATAATGTAATTTATTCACTGAATTTTATGACAAAATGTTGCTTAATTGTAACGCTGGTAGCTCACCATACATATGCACCGGTATCAGAGTAATGTCCCTTGACACTAGCAACTTACACGCGGTATAGTTTTCATGTGTATTTCAAGATTTAGTAAGTGAACAAAACCATTTCAAGCTGATACATCATTGAAACACATGTTTTATTGTTGATGAGTGACATTCATTGTTTACAATTCTAAGTATTTAGTTTTGTTTTCAACCTTCAACAATAAGTACACCGGTACCGTAGAATCCCGGCATACTGTAGTTATATACCTGTAATGATCAACCCCTGCATATGTTACTGTGATTAAATTCAAGATGACCCATTTAAAGATGGTATTTTAGAACCAGTTTCCATAAAGAAAATTTGCAGTAAACAACAATTTGCAACACTTGCATAAGTTCTTCTGGTCTTTGACCAGTAATGCTTAAAATCAGAAGTCTCTGATTAGACTGTAGTTCTACCGGTGTGTACTTATAACAAGAGGCCTATGGGCTACATCACTCACCTGTGCACTGTGGCTAGGAAAAAAGCAAAAATCAGTTCAGTATTGAAAATCTTCAATATTAAGCTTAAGTAGTCCCGACCTACCCCTAAAAAAGGGATTAGGGGAAGGGGGGGGGGGTATGATTTGAACAAAATTGAATCTACACTAACTAAAGATGCTTACATATTTCTTTGTCTGTGACTTTTTTCATACAAGTTTGAACTTTCATTATGGTCCCACCCTACCCCCAGGGGTCATGGTTTGAACAAATCTGAATCTACACTATCTGAGGATGTTTCCATATAATTATGACCAATCATAGATTTGTTGTTCTTGAGAAGATTTTTAAAACAATTTCCGATGTATTCCTATGCATAACTTTAATCATCAATTGTGGCCCTATCCCCAGGGGGTCATGATTTTTTTCAAACATGAATCTACACTACCTTAGGATACTTCCGAATAGTTAATACCAATCATGGCTTTGCTGTTCATGAGAAGATTTTTTTCTATATATTCCTATGTAAAACTTTGATCGTTCATTGTGGCCCCACTCTACCCCAGGGGGTCATGAATTGAACAAACTTGAATCTACATCATCTGAGGATGCTTCCACATGAATATGACCAATCATGGTTTTGTTGTTCTTGAGAAGAAGATTTTTAAAAAATTTTCCTCTATATTCCTATGTAAAACTTTGATCGTCCATTATCGCCCCACCCTACTCCCGGGGGTCACGATTTGAAAAATTTGGAATCTACACTACCTGAGGATGATTCCAGACGAGTTTCATCTTTCCTGACCCAGTGGTTCTTGGGAAGAAGATTTTTATAGATTTTTCCTATCTATTCCTCTATAACACTTTGATTGTCCATTGTGGCCCAACCCTACCCCTGGGGATCATGATTTAAACAAAACTAAATCTACACCACTTGAGGATGCTTCCATATAAATATGACTCATCATGGCTTTGCTGTTCTTGAGAAGAAGATTTTTAAAGATTTTTCCTGTACATTCCTATGTAAAACTTTGATCGTCCATTATGGCCCCACCCTACCCAAAGGTGTCATGAATTGAACAAATCTGAAACTACACTACCTGAGGATCATTCCACATGAGTTTTATCTTTCCTGACCCAGTGGTTCTTGAGATGAAGATTTTTAAAAGATGCCATTGATTTTTCATTAATTTGTAATTATCTCCCCCTGGAAGAGGGTGTGGCCCTTCATTAGAGGAAAATTAAATCCCCTTTACCCAAGGATACTCTGTGCCAAGTTTGGTTGAAATTGGCCCAGTAGTTCTGGAGAAGAAGATGAAAATGTGAAAAGTTTACAACAACAATGATGACAGACAACGGACAAATTTCAATCAGAAAAGCAAGTCTACATTAAAATTGGACCAGAACTGTAGGAGGAGTAGCATTATGAATGATTGTTTACAAACAGACGATAGACACTTAACCAATGCATAACAGTCTATGCGAAAGTCACCGTACCGTCGGTTTTTACCGGTAAATTTGGTTCGGGTCAGTAAAAAAATTCAGGATACAGGACTGATTGTCCGATGAAAAATTAAAGCCTAAAAATCTGAATTTACATGTACATATAGTTTTATTGTCCACACATATCCTTTATTTGATCCATTTAGCAGTAATTATACATGATTAATTTTAATCTATAAGAATCCTGTTATGATCCTTTATTTCTAACTCGAATTTCCTCTGTGATGGAATATAGATCTATAGACAGCTCATACGTAGATTCGGTTGGGCGAAATTATTTTCATTATTAAACAAGAGTAACCATAATGAGTTACTTCAGGAAAGAAATATATATATTTTAAAGTGCATTTTAAGTTTAAAAGAAAAAACTGTTGACAATGTGTATTTCGTTTGTATGTGTCAAATAACCAGAAAAGAGAAAATTGTATGGAATTGTATGTTACCTTTTAAAAAGGAAAATTATTAATAGTAAGCTTGTTCATTTCAATAAAATAATTTTTTTATAATCTCAAATCTGGATCTATTTGAGGTTCAATTTAACAGTGAGAACCCCCCCCTCCTTTTTTCAATCTCTGTATCATAATAATGTATGATTGAATTTAAAGAAAAAAGGTCGGTCTAGTAAGTAAATGCTTTGTCTGATAAAATATATATTTTTACCAGACCATATGTCCTGTAAAAATTTTAGACTTTCGCATATACTGGCATAAACTCTTCCACTCTCTACCATGGACTCATACATTCACCTCTGTCATTGGCTCCCATATATCACAGTGATAAGCACAAGAAATAATGCATTTGTTTTAATTTATTATAATTAAATTCCTGCGCTATTGTTTGTCTTTTAAGATAGATATTTACTGAGTAGATCTAGAAATATTAGTTTAATTTGAAACAATCCTTGGAATATCTCGTTTTTTACCTTATGTCAAAAAATCTTGATGCGAGCCCATTGCAGATGTCTGAGAGAGGAACAAATGACCACTCTGCAAGGTCAAGGACACTGAAGTTCTTCTAGTCTCTAACCAGTAGACCCTAATCAAGGTCATGTTTGTTTAACAATTTTCATTAATTGGTTTCGAATCATCTGCCATTTAAAACACATTCCTTAACAATAAAGTTTATTTAACATTAATGTTTTACACTAAAATCAAGAAGTCTCTGACGAGACTGTGGTTCTACTAGTGTATACTTAAAAAGAAAGATGTATCTAAGTATAGTATACTTGTATAGCAAGTCTAATCAGAAATGAAATATGAAGATAACAAACAGTATTCAATCTCAAAAGTCCAATGAAATGATACAAATCTAAAGCAGAGCAAACATGGACCTCAAAATTTAGAGGTGGGATCAGGTGCCATGGAGGACTGAGCATCCCCTGACGACCAGTCACAAAAAAACTGTTGGAGGAGTTGTGTTTAAAAAGAATTCAAGAAATTTCTATTTTATGTAACCATGGCTACACCGTTTCTCAAAATCAATTTACATAATTATATAAATTACACAGAATTATGTATCTGAGTAGTCTACTTGTGCACCAAGTCTCATTGAAATTACACCAAAATTGTAGGAGGATTACCATTTTAGAAAAATTTTAAAGAAATTTCTATTTTAGTAAACATGAAAACACCATTTGTCAAAATTAAATACAGATACACAGAATTATGTATCTTAGCATAGTCTATTTGTGTATTAATTGGACCAGGG